GGGGGGGGGGGGGGGGGGGTTTAGCGTCCCTGGTCAGGGATGAGTCAGCACTCAAACGGAAACAAAGCGGAGCCCTCAGCCTCAATGAGCCGCTCATCCATCTACACTAACGATTATTAACCGGAGGCACGGGGCCGAGGAGCTGTTTTTTTTGTTTGTTTTTTTACAAAAACCATCAGATCTTTGAGACAGTTTTAGGTAATTGCACCAAGTCCAGTACACATGATTTAGAGGCCATGTTTACATGTCCGATAATATTCTGGTTTCATTCTGAATAGGAACTACTAAGTCGGGAGCTTTTTCTGACCCCCTGAATCCAAATGAGGTTGTTTTCATGGTTAATTGTGAGAAAGTGAAACTATGCGAGTGTCGTATCAAAAACCAACCCTGAATGTTCTGAGGAATAAGTAGAAGATTCATGACAAAAACAACGTTTTAGTCTCCTCTGCTGTTTAACGAAAATCAAAAGTTGAAAAAACTAGAAAAACCAACCAGGTTTTGGATAATCACTCTGTTTTGTTTTGTTGTTTTTTTTATTCCATTCTGATCCTGCTTTGAGTTAATTTCCTGTTTACCTATTTTTTTTTTTTTTCAGCTGTTTTTCCATCATTTCCTTTTAAACAAGCAGAATCTTGTTGTGAAAAGGGAACGTTCACTAACCTGAACTTTGGGTCTGAATCCAGCTCCATGTCGTTTATACCAAAGTCATTTATGAATTTTGTGATTTCCTTTCTGTTTTTTTTGTGCAAACCGACTTCCGTTCTGCGCTCGGTGATGTGGAGTCTCCTCGGAGATGTCGTGGAGAGACACTGCCTTTTGAGAAATGCTAGTTTTTCTGGGTGTAGGCAGAGTAGATTCTAGCCAAACCAGCGTTGTAAAGCGTAATTATTGTAAAGGGGATTCGTGCAACTAGAGATTAGCTACTGTTTTAAAGGGAAACGAACTGATAGCTGCAATTTAGGATTGAAAATAACCTTTTTTTTGTTATTTGTTTTTTAATTTGAGTGTGTTGGGGTCATCGGCTGAGGATTACGTTTTGTTTGGTTAACAAAAGCACAACTGCCGTTTGTCGTCACATGATTTTTGTTGATTTTCTTCCTGGATTATTCATTTTTAACCACTCTTTTCAGGACAATGTGCATCGCCTTCATCCAGAAAGCTGCTATCGTTGTTTACTTTGGAACGAGTGCGAGAGCTTCTTTTTACATCGTTTCTGTTGTATCTACATCTGATTTTTAAAAGGACACTTCAACAAATGGCCTCTGAGGCCAGAGTGATTTATGCAATAAGATGTTTACCCGGAGCGGTTGTATAATTAAAGCACAATGTGCAAAAGCTACCATGATTTCTTTTGTTGTTTTTTTTTAGTCCGTGGAAGAGAGACGTTTATATACAGAGTAAATCTTTGTGCTTTAAAATGTGCTTTTCAATGGAAGGTGTAAAGGAAAAAAAATGATTAAAAGCATTTTTAAAAAATTTTTTTCTTTTTTTTGGGGGGGGGGGGGGATCCAACAAGAACAGTTTCTGGTTCATAATTGTTTTTAACGTTTGAGCAAATGAAATGATTAACCTTAGTCCTTTGAGGGAAAACCAGTTTTAATTAGTTTTGCCTGTATTCAATCAATGTAAAAGCAATATCTGGTTCTAATTAATCCTGATTGTTGTTTGAAAAGAAGATGCAGTCTTTCATTTTCTTGCTGTAAAAGAATAAAAAGACTACTTTACGTGTCTAAGCAGTAAATGTGCTGCACAAACAGAGGACAGGTCTCTGATTCCAGGGTTTCCTGCATGTTTTAACAATCACAAAGTTAAGGCAGCTTCACAACATTTAAAGAAAAGAATCGAAGCTACTTTGGGGTCTAATCCTCAAATGAAATAAAAATTAAATAACATTATAAAACTGGTTTGCGTTCTGTGTAAAACCCAAAGATCAGATGTGGGTTGATGAGATGCTTTGACTCTGATAATGAGCACAGAAAGAAAAGTTATAGAAAATACAACAGTGTATATCCAGTTAACGGTTTGTTCATGAACAGGTTCGGCTTCCTGGATTTAACAGAAAAGGAGCATCTGTCCGATCAGAGGTGGGTCAGATTCTCTACTTTGGGCCAAACTTTGTCAAAGAATCGATTATGTTTTTAACCCTTTAAAGCCTGATCCAAGAACAAAACAAAACAGATTTTTTTTTTTTTTTTTTT